TGACATTATATTTTGAAAATTTTACCCAAATATATTAGTGGAAATTGCTTTGTATTTAGATGACATTGTTACAATTTGGTTGATTTTTCGATGTACAATGTTGTAATAAGAAAAAACAATAGTGGGTTGCTATAATATATAAATCAACAGAAGTATGTTGCTATTTCTTGTATTTAACCAAAACTTGATTTTTAAATCATAGATTAAATCATTTGATAATACTATAAATCTTGAATCCCTATACAATTTTTTTTATTAAGAAACTTAAACTGAGGGAGAATTTGAGTTAATGATACTTACAACATAGCCATCTGGAGTCCAACTAATAATGTCCCACTTGATTGTGATATTTCCATTTGGGTCAAGTGCATCATAGGCTTCTGCAAGTAAAAAAAGAAGAAGGTTTGATTTGATAATCCCCAAAAATTTTGTAATTTAGTAAGTTATTCTTTGGTCAACGATTTTTATATGATTAGAATTAGATATACAAATTAGAGTTGAGAATCTAAGCTAGAATGTTATTAGAAAACTTCACTTGACCTTTACTGATCTTATTTTATAGAAACCATCTTATATAGAAAAATGATCGATTACATTCTTCTTTCAGATGAAGTCAATCGTCAAGAAGAAATGAGAACTGAAACCATTTCGGCGTAAATTAAAGAACACCCACTTGAATTTACCAATTAGTTATCATCAATTTCATAAAACTTTGAAATTTCTCAAATCCATTAGTCAACTAAGTCAGTCAAGTGGAAAGATTAAACCTTTTTTTCTAAATTTCGCAACCCATAAACCAATTTGATCAAAGAACAACTTCCTCATTCACCGATAATCAAAATCTTGCATGTCCATTAGTTAATTTAGTTAATGAACAAAATTTCTTGATATAAAAACTCAGATCAATTCTATCAAATAAACCCTAGAAGCAAATTTCATTAAACTCGCAATTAGAAGCTTCGCGAACTCAAGTAATTCAAAAACCAAAAACAAAACAAGAAGTTCAAACCTGTGCAAGTGAAACTGAATGAAGAAAGAATGATCGCAAGAACAATGGTGGAAATCGAGAATCGTGCGAGGGATCTGAAGCAATGATCCATCACTTGATGAGGAATTTGATTGATTTGTTAGTTTTTAACGGGGGAAAAAAAGATTTTGTTGTGGGGGCGGTGGATGAGCTTGTAGCCCTCACAAATCCAGTGATTGAGAGGAAAAACGTGTTCGAGACTTTAAAAAGAGAGTGGGAACATTAAAAAATAATAATAGAAAAACATTACACGCCCTGGATAATGCTGTACAGGATGTGTGTTGTTGTTTTGAGTTATTTGACTTTATGCCGGACATTCTTTTTGATTAATTATATAAAAGTACAAAGATATATATGTTAGATCAAAAATGTTTCATATAACTTTATTTATATAATGCAAGTATAAATAGGGTTAATATTATAAAATAATGATTTTTTTCATATTAAATATTAAGTATTTTTCTGAAAAAGACATTATACTATGACCAGATTTTTAAGTTTTCATAGGCTGACAATTCTCGACACACGATCCGCGACACGACACGAAATAAATGGGTTTGGGTTGAGTTTTTCAACCCGCCAACCTGCCAACCCGTTTATTAAACGGGTCATATATGGGTTTCTCAAAAAATAAACGGGTTGACCCGTCAACCCGTTTATATTTTTAATAAAAAAAAAGTATTTTATTTTTAAATGTATTTATGTATCAAGTATTAAGACTTAAGTGTCTAAATAGGAATTGTGGCTATTACTTTAACACTTGAATTATCTACGTTTGTATTAATGTTTAGTTTGAACATGTTTCTATGAATGTTCCTAATTTTCATTTGGATGTTTAAGACTTAAGTGTCTAAAATTCGGATATGTTTGCATCAACCATCAAAAATTTATTCATGTTTAATTGTCAATTTTACTTATGGAATCTAACCCACGAACCCAAATCTGACCCACGAACCGGCCAACTTGTGACCCGTATAAATAAATGGGTTGGCGAGTCATATATGGGTTTATGTTCCAAACCCGTCAACCCGTGACCCGCCAACCTGTGACCTGTATATTTAAATGGGTCGTGTTTGGGTTGGCATATTTTGACCCGTCAACCCGTGACCCGTCAACCCGTGACCCGCCAACCTGTGACCTGTATATTTAAATGGGTCGTGTTTGGGTTGGCATATTTTGACCCGTCAACCCGCCAACCCGCGACACGCCAACCCGAACACGACACGATTGTCAGGCCTAAGTTTCCATATTCATTAAGTTTTTATGCCATGAGCCAGTTACAAGTGGATATTGCGCCGCATATGATAAAAACATGAAGTCCTTTCTTACAAACCTTAGTTTCATGCTTTATTCTTTTCTTCTTATTCTTCATCTATGGTTTCTTCTTCTTCCATGTCTACCATCTACCATCCAGGACAAATCTTGTTGGTGATTTTATAGCACTAATATTATTTATGTGTAATGGGGTTAATTTGTTGATCAATGTCACTTTCACAATCATTAAACAAATTAGCATGGTGCACGGTGCACATTTGTTTAATTTTGTCTTTGTTGAAAGTATACTTCTATTTAGGGGCGAAGCCCCTGAATTGACGGGGGTCCGGGGGCAGCGCCCCTGGGAGCGGGGTCCAAGGGGCGGCAGCCACTGGTGGGGTCCAAGAGGCAGAGCCGTTTTTATGTTAGTTTGTGACAGGTAATGTGACAGTTTTTGGACAGAAAGTTGTTTTCCTGTAACTACCATATGGCAGTTTTAAGGCAGGAAGTTAGTTCCTGTTATATGATCAGTTTCGAAATCTTTTGGGTACAGATTTTCATAACATCTTCTTCATTCTCCATTCTTGAAAACCATGAGTTTCATCTAATTAGAGATTTTCAAGTGTACCCTCGAAATGCTTTAATCTGAAAGTGTTTCACAACTCTCATTGATCCAAGTATATCTATACCCTGATTTTCTAACAAATCTTAGACATGTTGCAGTCTAATTGTGTGATTGTGAGTTTGAAGTTTCCTTATTTACCTTATAGACTCCAAACAATCCACGGAGAAAGTTTTACAGATATGCAAATTCCAAGTTAGTCATGGAACCCCAAAAGAATGAAATGTTTCATCAAAGTTAGTTGTGGAAAATGTATTTGTTATTTTACAAGATAAAAGAGAAGATTATACATTATTCACATGGATTAATTGGTTTTGTGGTTGCTCCAAGTAAATGTATAATTTGATCTCTCTTACTATTGCCCCTCTTTCAATTAAATTTATAATTCATTATAGGATTTAGAAAGTGGTTGTGGTTATTTCAAATGGGTTGATGATGAAAAAGAATTCAGGGCTTTTAAGAAGCAACTGAACCTCCATCATTAGAGACTATAACATTGCTCAAACTGATTGTAGGCATGTTAGTGGTTATATTGTTATGTCTTATTTTAGTGATTATAAAGATGTAATTTATTTGAAATGATAACAAGTTTGCAATGTAGTTTCATCCATTGTAAGGTTCTACTTTAAGATGTATTGTGTTGAATTTGAAGTGGTATTGAATGTCACACCCCGATCCTTGTCGGAATCGATCGAGGCGTGATATATTGTTCAAAGTCTCATGACAACTATGTTATAATATGATTAGATCAAAAATTTAAGTACTAAGTATGCAAACAAGATCCACAACATACAAATACAAATCCAAATATGAACAACATTTATTACATCAAAATTTAAATAGTCTTGTGGATTTCTAAGGCACAACCTATTTTTCATCAACTTCATTCTTCAAATCTGCATCATGGGTAAAAACAGGTCAACTACGAGAGTTGGTGAGTAATCTAATTTTAGTAGAGAAAATTGTGAAGTTGAAACCTTTATAATTGGAAATTTGTTTTCTTTTGAAGTCGGCAAACAATTGTATTTAAGATAACGGTTTATAAATCAAAAATTGATTAACAAATGATAACAACAACAATAAGTCCTCACCCTATATATACATATGTATATATATATATAAATATATATAGGATGGAGCATCTAATCATCATACACACTCAACCACGTGCGATCAATCACCTTAGCGTCCCACGGCGGGGTGGTCAACCCAATAGCGCTATTATTGTCCATAACATACCTCAAGAATACGGGCATAGTCATGGAGATTAGAACTAAAATGGTAATGCACTACAAGTACATGTAACGTAAACAAACAATAGTTATACAATTAATGACTCACGTATAAATGTCCCAACAATGTCTCAATTGTGATAAAACAATAAAATGAAGTTGGAATATATTAGAACCACATGATACACCCAAAAGTATTGAAAATTAAAGTATGGGGTAGATTACTCACTTTAGTCCCAAAACGAAATGCGTGTGTCGTACGATAGACGATTCGGGTCACAAATGGCGTAGAACCTAATATAATTAATAGTTTTTGGTTTAGGAACTGCTAAACAAGAATGGAGTATTAATACAAATAATTAGACACGTATTCTTATATTAGATGAATTACAATAATTCATTTTGATTATAATATTAAGGTATTTATTTGTTAAATGAATTTTAAATTGAATTACTACTTTGCATAATTAATTATATTTTCAATTTAGGCCAGATTTTAATAATTCTTATTAAAATAATAACTTGCCCAATTATAATTATTTACAGATTTTAAACAATTATTTATATGAAATAATCATTAAAATGCATTTTTACATGCTTAAATACTTAGGAAATAGTTTTAAATAGTAAACAGTATTGAAAAAATTATGAAATTATTAGGAACTCATTATTCATACAATATGAATTACTGTAAAATTTGTATATTTTTCTGAACTGTTTTAGTATTTATTTAATATTTTAATGATAAACCAACACCAAATTCGGGAAAAACTAGTAAATAATTCTAAAAAAATATGTAAAATTAACCCATAGTTTTATAACATGATGTAGAGCTCATTGAATAAGTTTCAGATATTTGTGACTATGGGAAGTATATTTTTTATATATTGATTATTAATTAATCAATAAAATCATAAATAATAGTAAACAGTAATATAAATGCATGAAACTTCATATATCATGTTTTATCAGTATACATGTCATCCCAGAATTTTCTCAGAATTTATTGAATGCAACAAGTATTTTATGTGAATTATTGCCCTACTTTATTGAAATAATTATGATAATTCAATAAAAATAAGTTATTTTCTGAAAATTTCCAGAACTTCTTATTTTATTGATGGTATTCTGAGAAAATCAGGTTTATGAAAAAATGAGTTTTAGATATTTTGGTGGATTTAATTTGTGTTTCTTGTTGATTTGAAACTTTTAACAACATACCTTGATGAATGCTTCAAGAGGGATGAAGATTTGAGTATAATAGATTGTTTCTTGGATGGAATATGAGTATTCTCTGGAGGAAATTTCGAGATTGAGAGTGAGAGAAGAATAGAGAAGGTTTAAGTGGTGAAAGAATAAGTGTTGGGAGAACAATGAAAGGAAAGTGGATGGGAGGTGTGAGTGGGAGACCCATGGGAATAATCTTTTTGCTTTGGTGGTCTTCATTAATTTCCACTAACACAAGCATCTTTTACATAATTATATAAGAGTTTTATAAAATTTAAGTAAAGTTTATAAAATAGAGTTTTTATAAATTAATGTAAAGTTTATAAAAATGGAGTTTTATAAAAGAAGGTTATGATGATTATAACAATCTAGTTTGATTTGAAGTTTAATTATAGCATTCAAGTTTGATTCTTTTAATTAATTAGAGCATTATACTTTGATTTGATTTTATATGGTATCATAATTAATTTGATTATAGTTAAACGTTGTACTATACTATGTTGCTATAACGTCAATTATATCGTAGTGTATGGGTTTTGATCCTATTAGCGTCAAGTAATCTTGAGTAGGGTTGAATGAGATTGAGAGAGTTTCGTTTGTGATCTTTTTGAGTGTCCGGCTTCGCAACGCAAGGTCCATAGACCCGTTATTAAGCCATGGATTTAGTGTCCTACACAATCCCGATGATTGTGCAATAGTGTTTATCGCTTTGGTTCATTGTTTAGCACTGTTAAGGCTAAGGAAAATCAAACACATGAACTTTCCAAATGATGTTTTCTCATTAAAATAGCGAATTGTACAGTGATTACATAACGTAAACCCTATCATACAAGGGTTAATGGAGTTGACCGGTTTGACT